GAAGAGCTGCTCCGAAGTATTACGTGCCTAGGGCAAATACAATCACCATAGCATTTTTAACATAATTTTGCTCGGTCTTTTTTTTTCTTTTTTTAATGGTTCCCTCTCCTTGTAACATCTCTTTTTGTGGAAATACAAGAGCTACAGTCAATTTATCAAGTGCTCTGAAGATCTTCGACAAATGAGACGGCCGTAGCGAGGAAATAAAGGGAAGCCAAACAATGGCAATAGCTCGCTATATTATTACACGAAGGAATTTGCAAACAAATGATAGGTCTGTCTGGCTTGGAAATAAGAAATCAATCCACAAATTCTCAGCCGAGAAAATAGAAGCCTCTTCCAACAATATTAGCTTCTTTTTCCTCCTCCCCACTTTAGATTTTTTGGAAGTGGGGATACAAACAGGAATTGAAACACGCAATAAAAAATAAAGGTCAATCAAAGATCACAAATCATTCACTATTTTACACAGGAACAGTATGACAAGCAGCAGGAGTCGACCGGCCTTTCTTCTTGGTTAGTTTGTAGTCTTGGGCTGCAATATTTGCACAAGTGACCATAAGATATCCATTCTATGCATAGTTCTGTTGTTCTGCCCCTGAATAATTCAAAATGCAAAACTGATTAAAGAAGGGGGGAAAACACTGCAGTTTTCTGGATAGAGAAGGCCGTGGATCTATAGAACCCATTGAATCGATTTGTAATTCGGAAATACTCTTAAGGAAATCATTGAGACTTGCTCCCTTTGTAACAGATAATTCTGACATACCTCAACCACGAAACATATCCATGTCTTCTCACCATGCACTTCTGTGATTCCTTTCAATATTGTCAGGCCTAAACTTCTGATAGCTTCTGCTATCTCAAGAAAATCATTGCATTCCTCGCATAACATCTGCATGGATCAAAAGTATACTTTTGAGTATAGAGAAGAAACAAAGGCAATGAAAAATAAGTGGCTGCAAACCTGAAACAAAGGAATGCAATGATTTTCTGAGTTTATGTTTCTAAAGAAACAACAACAGACTGATCTCATAATTTACAGATCCAACATATATTTACCTCTACAAGCATCTGTCCGTTTTTGTTTAGATTTTCTACTATTATTGATGAGACCTTTAGATGGCCGCCCACCTCCACTGCCCAGCTCGAACCCTGTTCATATTTGGAGGCATCGGTTCCCTTCTGATGCATCTGTAAATTCAGTCATCCATATACGAGTAAGCAGCAGAAAAATAATATAACAGAATATAATGATATGCTCCCCCGATGAGATTGTACAGTTCAAGTTGCTTCTTACTAAACATCAAGATCATAAAATCATCAGGCAACAAAAGAATGCAAACAGAAGCATGTCAGTCAATGTTGAGCAATAATGATACTATCAACTAATAGATAACAGAATTTAAAAATTTGCATTTATTGGTGTAAATTTCTTACAGAAAGCAAACTCCAGAAATCACTACCAACATGGAAGATTGAGAATTTAAAATTTCCACGAGTAAACATATGAAGGAGGTTGCCCAAGCCACGCACAGATACAGGAACAGGGCCCTTGCAGGGAACATGTCTGACCTACCTTCGGTTCAGCACATTTATTGAGCTTGTCAGCATGCTTTGTAATGCTTTCTAGAAAGAGCATATGCTTGATTGTGTGCTCCAGCAACGAATCTATACTGCACTGCAATTTATAAAAAAATACCTTTAGAACATATCATACAAAAGATTTCCCTGACTAGGAAATGCAACTGGTAAACAGTCAAAAAATCAGCTCGACCATGGAACAGTTACCTTCGATCCACTGGGCACAAGCTCTCTCAGCTCCTTGATGCGATCTTGGATCAGTTGCCTGTCCCTTGGCCGAGGCCTGAATTTTTCACCTGGTCTAGCCCTTTTTTTGCTGTTCTTAGCTGGTTCTGCATGCTTATCCAACTGCTCAGCACAGATACTTGTACAAGTTGACAAAAACCCTTTAGAAGACATTCCACCAAAAACTTCTGTTGAGTTAGAGAAATTCTGTGCATCCTCTTCAACAACAGAAGATGGGTTAATTGAATAGCCTGCTGAATTGAAGATATGCTTGGTCTGGATAGAAGGCTCTGGAATTTTCTCAACCGTTAATAAAGACTGCACTGACTTACAACTTGACTTCTCACTTTTAACATCACTGCCACTATGGCAAGCATTGCCTACTACTGCTTCTAAAAGGTTCTCTGTGCCAAAGTCAAATGTCATCTGGCTGCTACTCATCCCCTCTGGCATCTCGAAACCATTTACAGCTTCACTCTTTCCTGCTTGATAATCAAAGGGCATGCATCTGTTGACAAAAGACGGTCCTAGAGCTTCGAGCAACTCACTACCACCAGAGAACTTAAAAAAAGTGTCTGATGCATTGAAATGAGTTGATAGCTTCTTCTCCAAATCCTTTTTGAATGTTATGTTTGAAGATTCAGGTGCATCCAACACTAATTTTGGGTAGAGATTGGTGCCATCAGACTTATCTCTATCACAGATGGTAGTGTCAAAGAGGTCTGCAGGGATGCCTGCAAGGTCAGCTCCAAGCTTTTCATTTGGAAGTATAAGATCAGATGGATTAACTTTGTCCTTCATAAAACTATTTGAATGCATAGTCACACTGTGTTCTGATCTCCGGTCCGGATCTTTCCAGACATTGGTCTCCCCTCTGTACATCTGGTCACTAATTATATTCATCCCTAGTTGACTCTGGTGATCCAAATAGGAGGCATTTGATCTCAGATGAAGTAATTTGATGCTTTCATCATTTGTTGGTGTCAATATTTCAAGCCCTTGTTGTTTATTTCTCAATCCAGCTGCTGTTTTCTGATGAATATCAAGAAGGAAAGAAATGTAAGAACTACAACTATGGTTGTCAATATGAGAATAAAGGCAACAAATCATTTGGTTTTTCCTACGAATCTTCACATATGATTGCAGGAAAACCTTTGAAGCCAAATAGGTAGATTTGGCTGAGAAAGGAAGCATTTTAGCATTACCAAAACCTCTAACATCTCAACCTGTTGAGACAATAATTCTTCATAGATGTTAGCATGCATGCATGCACTTATCCGCATGCATGTCTACACACGCACATGCACATAGAAAGAGGAAGGGAGAGAGAGAGAGAGAGTTACCGGACATAATGCATTCTTCAGACAATGTTGTAATGGACCACTAACATGCCTGACTGAGGAATCTTGAAGGGTGAAAAAGACATCTTTGATATGTGTCACCAAATTAACATCCTCAATAACCTACTCAACCCAAATGTGAATATAAAAGAAAAATTATATGGCAATGACAAGTATATGACCAATCTTATAAATTCAGAGCAGAATTTAACACTTTAGCCGGACCCACCCAACCATGTGATGATTAAAATCACTTAAACAACTCAAAATAGTGAGATATTCTCTTCAGATAAAGTGGAAATGTAACACATCTCAAGTCCAATATCAATTAAGAGTGCAAGCTAGCAATTATGGAGGATGAGCTTATGATGTTACAAACAGTAACAGAGACAGTAACACTTGACTAACTAGCATTTCTGGTGAGCAGCCTCATGTCTTAGGGGAGTATTAAACTGGGATGCAAGCAGCTCTGGCTCATGGGTGCATTAATTTTTGGGGAGTGTATGTGTGCTCCCTTGCAAGAGAGCAAGGTTTAAAAATTAATGTCAGTCATGCTCCAAATCAAATTTCAGGGGCATGCAAGAGAGGCCTTGGGTACAAAAACCAAATTTGATGATCCCAATAGCAACTCCAGCTACAACTTTGACAAATATTAGCTGGTCATTCTAGGGATTCAAGACATAACTAGACCCTCCATTGATTCTTTTTCAACTTGAGAAAACTTTAAACAGAAATTGAATGCCACCACTTAGTCTCTGCATACAAATTACAGATGCCAGCCTACAACTCTGATTGTGACTGCCTACAACAGCCTAGTAAGTGTCTAAACATGAGGATCTCAATGAACGCAGAAATGCATTGTATATTTCAATGAATCTCGTAGAAAACACTGCAACATCCAATTGGTTCAAGTAATCAATAAACACGCATGTAAATGACAGTGATTAATTAGGCAGAAATTTTCTTACTTTATTCGAAGAGCCAAGCTGTACAACTCCATATGGCACAACAGCAACAACAACAATGGTCTGCAGAGAAAAACAAAAACTATTTCATCAATGTAACAGCTTATTTTAGTTGGTAGAAAGGAAGGGTATCAAAACATAAAGCACTAAGCAAACCCTGAAAACCCAAACAACTTTTGTTTTGGCCCTTATGGGACAAGAAAAGCATGCATTAGATTGGATATCAGAAAATCTTAACAGAAGTTAAGAGTTGTGTCCCACTTGTATCAATCTCAGCACACAGAAACAGATAACCATTGACTAATGAGTGAACGGGGAAAAACAAGCATTGGAATATATATCATTCACACAAGAAGTGAAATTAGTTTTAGTGGTTGTTTTCAAGTCAACATGGAAACATTAAATGCAGAAATGAATTCATTCAGTCTCGTCCAATGTCATTATGACCATGACCAGTGACAATATCATTGATCTATAGAGAAAACAAAAAACAACGCAGGCATACCTTGATCCCAGCAGAAAACTGACTTTGCCAGCCATCAGAGAACTGAAAACCTCACAGTGAAAAAGAAAACCTCGCGGTGAACATACATTGTTTATATTTTTCCAACGGGAATATTTAAAATAGTATAATTCTATAATTGCATTTCTAGTATGTAATTCTACAATTGCATTTCAAGGATATCCTTACCTCATGTGATGAGAAGGAACTTGCAGCATATTTATCAGCAAAGATCCACTGATGCTTTCCACTGACTGCCACCTGCCCAACTATCCTGTAAAACCAAGCATGAATCCAACTCAAACATGCTGATAAGCACAGGGATCTTTCAAAAGTGAAAATCCAAAAAAATCTTAAATTAAATTCTGCTTTGTAATTGGATGCTTGCAGGGGGGGGAGGGGGAATTCAAACGAGGAGGAAATGATGTGAAGCATGCTCAAATAAAACACTTTCCTAACGCTAGTGACAATTCAAGGAGCAAAATCCATCAGTGAATAACTCATACCCTTCCCCTAGAGAGTATACATGATACGACATCTTTGCCAAAGCCAATCCAAGCGGGTCACGAGTATAATTCCCACCATGCAATTTTTCTTGTGTCTGACCGAAGCATTTGCTCTCAAAGGCATCATGTTGCTCACAACTTTCATGGTAGCCATCTTCCCAAGTTAGCACCCTATTAAATATTTAAAACAAAAACAAAAAACAAGAATAAATTTTAAGTAACAATATATATCCTCGAGCTCATAACCAACCATACCCAAAGTTAAACATAACTAAATATAAACTTCAACTAACTGCATATAATCAGAATTTAAACTAACTGCATATAATCAGAATTGCTACAAGTAACTAAAGATGAAACAATATTGAAGTAAAATCTGAAGTAACTTACATGCGAGCACGATATTTAAGCTTCCAGAAAACAGCATAGTTCCAATCAGTACTGAAGCAGAGGCTCCTCAAAGTATTATGCAAGTCAGCACCCATCCCCATCCTTCCCCTTCCCCTCTCAAAATTCCTAAGTCAAAAGGCTCCTCAGTTCAAATTCCACTACCAAGAACCCAACTTTGTCAGTGAAACAAAAACCCCACCCTCAAAACAAAAACCCTACTTTCGTTTTAGCTAGCTTCCTCTATAAGAACCTCTTCCTGCCTGTTTTCTCCTTAACCCAGCTCTTGCTTTTATCGGTGGTCCTACTGTAGCCAAAAGCAGGCGATCTCTACCCATTCCCTCACTCATACACCACCCTCTTTTCACTCACTAACACCCAATTTAACAACAAAAAAAACTCAAACAACGCTAAACTCCAAACTTTCAAGATAAAAGAAGAAGATTTCAAAAGAGCAACATTCACTGTATTTACTCATGAATCTTAGTAAAATTGAATTCAATCTCTCTCAAAAATCAAGCCTGATGAAGATGTGAACTTTGCAACACAGGTCTAGCTAATATCGGACGACATGGATCACACTCAAATAATGACCGTGATTTTGAAAAATCATACAATTAATCAGAAGATTATCTTGCAATTTTCACAGAGAGAATTTGATTCCAATAAACCCTTAACTGCGGAGAAAAGAAACAGGGAAATCAAGGGTTTGCTTTAGATTCTTGAGAAAGGAGTAAAGTTGGAGTCTTTTTGGCTAAGAGAAGTGAGGGTTGAAGTCAAGAAAATCCATGCTTTTTCATTGGCAAAGATATAAAGAGTGAAAAGAAGCTTTTTTTCTCCTTACCCCCTTCCTTTACTGAATCACTGTTCCCTCCTCAACAAATTCTAGAGAGATAAAGTAGAGAGAGGGCCTCAAATCCAATGGCTTTTAATTCCGAGTCTCTTTTTTGGAGTTCAAGACTGTTTTATAATATACAAATATAATAAAGCAAGTAATAGCAGCCGCTACTTGGCGTACTCTGTTCACTTTAGCTTTTCTGACATGAAAATGAAGGCAAAAACGGTGAGGTACGGGTGTCGTTTCAAACCTTGGCGCTATGTGTGAGTGCGTCATCTCTTATCCTGCGCATCATGGCGCGCACTTTAAACCTCTCTCTTTCTCCCTCCATTTTCTTCACACAGTTGTGGGGGACTAGGGTTTTTGAGGGATATTATTTATGGATGGATAGATGATAAAAAGAGGGAGAAAAAGAGAGAGGGCAATGTGCTATGAGTGCACTTTCTAGGTAGTGTTATGTTATGGCCAACAACATGATGCCCAAGTGAAGAAAATGCTTCTTGTCTTTCTACTACAATCTCTTTTTTGTGAAGAGGGGTCTTGTCTTTCTTTCCTTCCCCTACATTTCTCAATGAACCTTTTTTAAACCCAATGAACTTACCCATGGGGATTACCCTTTTCAACCATCATTCTATTGCTACAGAAGCTGTCACACCCATACCACCCTCCTTCCATTGCAAATTGTCTTCATGTTCTTTTATACAATTCACGTTTTGAAAAAATCAGAAGCAGCATCTTTTTTCTACAGAGGTTTTGCATTTGCGGTCAAAACTATATTTGTATAAATTTTTAGTGTTTTTAGATTATTTTGATGTAATAATATAAAATATTTTTAAAAAATAATATTTCAATATATTTATAAGTAAAAAGTATTTTAAAAAATAATTGATACCACTCTAAAGCTAAAATTTAATGAAAAACAAAAAATTGGAATTGGAATTGGATTATGAGGTTAACTGAGGGGTGTTTTTTTCTTTTTTATTTCACTACAACCCTATTAGTGCTCATTGAGTGGCATTTGAGAGTGATGATTGAAGTAGCATATGGGAATTTTGTCTAGACGTCTCCATTTTGATTTTAATTATGTATTATCATCTCATGACACATTTATGAAGTAACGTTTCCTGCACCATACCAGCTCGACATCATTGTCCAAATCGCATTATTTTGTGTTCTAACAGTGGGATCTACGAGTGATTATTATGGCCATTGATTTCTAATCATTCTCTTCTATTTATTTATTTATTTCTTTTTTCACGTCCTTGTAGTTATGAGGGATTGGTGCTGGGGGCCATACATTTGTTGATCACAGAGCACACCCATCCATAAACGAGTAAAAAAAAGAGAGAAGAAAAAATGAAGAAATCATCACATGATCAAGACTCCAAAACAATCTCCTACCATTGTTTTCTGCTTTGATCTTTAAAGATTCATTTTGTCGGGAGTAAATGAAGAGTGTTCGCCCTGGCTCACTAGCAAGTTTTAGAGGCATAATCATTTTTTTACTCAGTGGTGTATCTCTCATCTTTTGTGGTTAGTTGTCACTAGTTATACTTTATTTTCCCCCTATTATCAAAGCTACACTTATAATTGAAGTGGTGGATATGGAGAGATTTTTAAAATATTTCATGAGTAATTATTAATATTTACTCCACAAGAAAAATATTTTCGAGCCCAGATAAAAATATTCTATTACTTTTAATGGTTCGGATATGATTAATTTTTTCATTCCTTGTCTATCTTTCTCTTAAAAAGAAAGTCCATGGCTATCATAATATTCCAAGAAAGATAAATCTTATGCATTCAAATTTGAATTTGCAAAAACTATACCACCGCAGATTGGTTTTAGAAAAACCCTACTACACAGATCGAATTCGTATCTTGTTTGACTAGTTTCTTGAATTCATTTTTGGATGGAATAGATTTGGATTCTTCATTTTATTTCTTGAACATTAATAGTAATAATAATAATGTTCAGTGAACAACTTGGTTCAAGATTTCCATTCCATCGAAGAAGAGGACTCCCTCTTCTCCACTTGTCTCTTCCCTGAGTTTTTCTACCTGGTCCAAAACTTCAACTTACCTAGATCATGATATCAGTTTTTGACCATTTTCTTTCCTAATTCCATGGTAAAAAGGCTCATGAAAAGCTTTGGATGGTTAACAAGTTTTCATCGGTGCTGTTTTCGGTATGTATTATTTAATGCCTTGCAAAGGGTTTTTTTTTTTTTTAATCTCTCTCTTAGATGCTCATAGAATAAAGTTCCTAAGCTTCTTTTTAGGACTCCTGTCTAAATAGAGGTTTGTAAAAATTTAGTTTTTAAAAATTATTTTTTTTAATATTTTTAAATCATTTTAATATACTAATTTCAAAAATAAATTTTAAAAACTGATAAATAAATTATTTTATTACATTTTAAAAAATAATTACTGTAACACTTACAAACAACTTCTAAAATTCTGCATGAACAAAGCTGATGTCATTTTCCATGTATATAGAATAGTAAAAGAAATGAGTAGAATCATCATAAATACCAAAAAAGAATGATTTGTTTCCCTAGCTATTTCAATAAATTATTCGATTTCATTTCGAGTAAATCCCATTGTATGGTCTTTAAAGTAAATTTTAGAATATATGGTTAATTAATATATATTATAGTTTTGCATCATTTAAAATTTTTAAACCGCGGCATGAAAAGCTAGCTACCAAAGTGTAAAAACCACACATAATGAAGTTAAGTAATTAATGAAGTAAAGCAATGGCGTTACCAGATTATTTTGCATTTGAACTTGAAGGTCACCTTTTATCTTTCCCATCACCTCATGCTTTTCTTTTCTTTACACTCTTTTAGATGAAGATTGGGAACCAAATCATCCCGAGTAGATTCTGTAGCTTAGCTTTTCACTAACATGTAATCCAGGAGGATCGATGGCTTGTTAGTCTCCACACTCATGAGCAGGGGGTTGATCTCTTTCTCACTGTGCATCCCTCAGTCAATATAGATGGGCGTGAAAATGGAAGTCCCATTTTCAAGTACATTCTCCCTGTATACAATGCATATGTGACGTTAGTGGCCACTACGTGAATAAACTATACACACCCTTGTGAGGAAATAAGATTTGCAAGGAAGAAAAGCTGCAAACTTTCACCAATAGTCAACTTGGCCTTGAATATGGTGATTCAATATTTTGCCACCCCTTCTTTAACCCCAGCTCGCTAATGACCTAATGGTGGACCCATAAAATCGAATGAAGGGAATCTAATGATCATTGGCATGAAAAGGAATTTTAGCTAGGAAAGCATCCTCGAACGTGCAATGTATTTTTGTTGATGTCGTATTTTACTTAAAAATATATTTACTTTTTATATTAAAATATCAAAATACTTTAAAAACATTAAAGTTTAAAAAAAAATACATGCAGTTTCATGGTTAGTCTGATTGAATTGAGTTTCTCAAGCAAATGCGAAGGATTAAAGAAAGATGGATTAAATGTGATCAAGATGGAGCCTGATTAACAAATGATTTCTCGGCCAAAACTAGATCTTTTTTCTCTGGATTTGTTCAGATCATTAACGCACATTGATCGGTACATAATTAATACTCATTTTAATGGCTCTAATATGCGGTAAAATGCCATTAACTTTACATATATATATATATATATATGAAGTACAGAAAGAAAACCAAAGGTACAAGCCAAAAGTCAAGTAGCATGTCGTTAGCTTTTGTTTCATGCGAATCATTGTAATTAGTTAATGGGTTAATACCAGTCCAAGCCCTTGTGGGTTCCCGTCATTAAAAGGTTAATTTTTGAGTGAAGGTTAATATCATGAAATCAATGCAATGCTAATTAAGTTATTGACCGAATCAGCATATGATCTCGAGTGATAGAGTTGTCAAGGAAAAAAGTCAAAAGTTAGGAGTTGTTTCGAGGAACTAGTCTGCATGATACAAGTGCTCTCTACCCACCAAGGAAAGCAGGAACATGACAGAATGTTTTATAGCCTCAAGGTAAGAATCTGGTAAGATTAGCTGCTTGATCCAATCCGTACACTTGGAAGATAAGGTGGGCTTAGTGGTCTTAGTCATTAAAATAGACTACATAAAGTTGGCTAGTAGCTAGCCACCATGATCCAGCAAGCTTCACTCTTGTTTATTCTATCTTCTTGGCCCTTTTCCTATAAAAAAGAAGCATGTCCATGGTATTTGTAGGAACATATTATCATCGAAGAATGTCTAGTCGAAGACTTGAGTGCCTTCCACTTCCAACATCATTTTTGGAGCATATAGTACATTAGTACTCACCTAAGTATAGAAAAAATAATGCCATCGATTTTATTTTCGCCCGTATATGTCAGATCAAAACATGTGCGCTTATGTCAGGAGATGGCTTGTCAAGCTGAAGAGCATTCCA